AATATCAAATGCTGTAAAAGAAGCAAAGATATATCAATCTTTTAATAAATAAGGCATATCAAATTTGAAATCAACTGTTCATCAAAAGAGTAAATTATAGCAGCTCTGAATAACAAAAATAACGATGATAGAACAAGAGGCAATATGCAATAACTGTTATGCATGTGCAAATAGTCTATAATTTCGGTGCTTTCCTATGATGTTTTAAACCAGCAATGATCAAAATTGAATGGCCATGGTTAACCGGCATCCAATGCGAGCTTGAAAAATTAACTAATACATCGTAATATAAGCAAAAAACATCTGTTATTAACCCCCTTCCCTCCCATACWCTATGGAGATTGAATAAAATGCAATCTTAAAWCCGACCGATGTAACTGATTGCACATCAATTTCCATATATATGAGAGACAAGACCGCACTGAATYCCGATGGACCATATTCATACAAATTAGCAAAAGTACTTGATCATATTTATGCTCACCTACTGAKACCAAAGCCCCGACAACATTGATGCCATTCATTACTTTACTAAATCTTGAACTGGAGCCAGAAAACTTGTGGTTGACTTTAGAGACTGCAGTTTGTTTGACAAACTTATTTACGTTTCCTTGAYTGACGCCCAGAACTTTCTGTGCTTTCTGTGMTTTCGCTGTCGTTAACTGTTTGTGTCCCTTGCCAGATCCAAGATCATTTATCATCTAAGAAGAATTCGTGAGYATATCTAAGTGCGAACTTCATTCATGTTTCTCATGAGTCAATTATATCATCCCAGCGAGGTCGGAAATTAATTTTTCATAATTTATTTCCAAGGATCTTCCTCCCACTGTAGAATAACCTCCTTCCTAGCACTATAGCTTTCCTTTATTTCTATATCATGTATCATATGGTCAAAATGGTGGGTACTAGCGGTAAACTAGTGTGAGCTGCGCGCGTCAGTGTTTCTAAAGAGGATTTACTCCGACGAAGGATTAACGTCCGAAACGTTAGTAAGTTATATCATTTTACGGTGTTAAATTTATCTTTTTACACAACTGTATCTTATAATGCCATGCGGTCCTAACATTTATATCTATGACAAAAAGATATATAGCTTATTTTGTACGGAAGGTGAGCCAGATATAATCACCGCGTGATAGACATACCTTATTKRCTTCGTTCTTTTTGTAGTAATTATAGGCCACTGTTCCCACTCCAATTAAACCAAGACCAATAAAGTTAGACATGCCAATCATTGTTGTTTGAAAGCTTGAAAAGAAAGTGTTGTATTGGTCTCTAACTTTCTGATCACTCCATTGTTGTACGGTACTATTCTTTGCCTTCAATTGTTGCTGAAATGATTTTTTAATTTCGAGTTAAATAACTGAACGAGTCACGCCTTGAAAATCGCGAGCATTCTTTAAGTATTAACTCGAGATTCAATAGAATACCGTATTTTACCTCTATTTCAAACCATTTATTGTTA